TAATTTTCCCATTTTGTTACCATAATGAATCGTTCAAATGGAAAACATTCTGTTGCTGTTCACTTCATCAGCCCTGGCCAAGCTGGTTTGAAGTCCCAGTATTAAAGGGTTAGCAGAAGTTGTCGGAACGTTACACATCCACAATATAGGCACTGTCTGTAATAATGAAGTAGAAGAAAATGACTAGACAAATTCTAACCCGAACTTGAGGTTATCCAATTGCATATTTAGAGTCTGGCTCCAAATATAATAGAAGGATGAGTCAAAAAGTATTGCTACCAGGGTTCCAGTTCTCACACTCATGAATTAATTCCAAGCAAAACAGTTTTAAACCGGGGCAGTACAGATTGGGGACCCAAGACCCACGTGTAGGCAACTGGACATCCCCTTACAGAAGGGTCACGGGGAGGAGACGAGCCAGTCAGGGTGCAGTGCAGCAACAATGAAACATACAATTTTCCTCTAGTTCCTAAATGCTTCCGCCCACTCCCCCCACTATCATGATCCAAATTCACCTTACAAATCCTGCTAGACCAGAGGATGTACACTGGTACAGATAGGAACTGGAAACACAGGGAATCCAGGACGGATGACCCCTTCAGGACCAGTGGTGAGAGTGGCAATACCGGGAGGGTAGAGGGAGGGTAGGGTGGAAAGGGGGAACTGATTACAAGGATCTACATATAACCTCCTCCCTGGGGGATGGACAACAGAAAAGTGGGTGAAGGGAGACACCAGACAGTGCAAGATATGACAAAATAATAATAAGTTCTACATTATCAAGGGTTCATGGCGGTGAGGCAGAGGGAATAAAAAGAGGAGCTGATACCAAGGACTCAAGTAGAAATCAAATGTTTTGAGAATGGTGATGGCAACAAATGTACAAGTGTGCTTGACACAATGGATGGATGTATGGATTGTGATAAGAGTTGTATGAGCCCCCAATAAAATGATTAAAAAAAATAAATGTTTAAATTAAAAAAAAAATTTTTAAACATGTCTTTGCCATTAGAAGATGACTGCAGTCACGTTCTCTCGTCAATGTACCTGTCTTAGTCTCAATTGTGTACTTTCAAAACAAAGGTCCAATCAGAACAGTGAATTCTGGGGGGACCTGCTGGGACTGGTTAAATGCAAAATAGAGAGGTCAGCTCAGAAGGTTAAGGAGACTTGTTTTAGGGGGCCCAAAAGAAGTACTCTTGACAGATTTTCTTGAAAGACACAGGGTTATGTTGGGGATTATTATAAGAAATTTTAAGGAAACAGAAAAATACTGAGACAGTTAGAGAAAGGATTCCCCCCCTCCCCACCCCACAACAAGACAATGTACCTGCTCATTCCTCGAGGGTGGCATGGCTTGCCCTTTGAGAGTTTCTTTAAGAAACCGCACTCCTTTCATCCTGCAGCCCAGACCTTCACCCTCTAGACTAATTTTTACTCCCCGACCTCAAAGAGCATTGAAAAGGAACACTATCTGAGTCCCTCAGGGATGCTAAAACTATACTGATGTGGTGTCAATTACAGAGTGCAGAATTCTTTGGGGACAGGTTAGAGACGGAAATACCACCTTCAGAAAGGCATAGACCTGATGGCAGTTATGTCAAGAAACAAAAACTCATGTGGATATCTTTGTTTATTTCTAAGGTTTTACAGCAATCTTCTTTGACTTACCCTTATATATAGCACAAAAGGAACAAGGAAGTACGTTGTCACAGTTGCAGTACTTTTCACTGTTGTCACCTAAGACTATTTAGTTGTTTCAAATGTCATTTTTGACCCTTACAAGAATATGTAGCTAAGTTCTTAATCAGTTTTAAATTGCTGTTGAACTCAGCTGTTCAAAGGCCAGGTGCACGGTGAACTAATTCTCCCTTTTCCTCTAAAAGCAATTAGAGTAAGTTAATTAATCAACCCTCAATTACTTGGAAAGAGAGGCAGGTGAACTGTCTAATAGACAACCTGGTTTCTTGGAGCTCCGTGCTGTCTGGTTGGTTAAGTGGAACACCTGCTTCCAGTCTAGTCTGTCCTTCACAGAGATGGACAGGTAAGGGACTATGGATCATTTTGAGGTGGAACAGAGAAAGATGAAGAAATGGTAAACATCTTAAAAGAAGAAACAACAACCAAAAGGAAGAAAGGAAATGAACAGGGCATAAGTTAGGGAGTTGAGGTGGGGGGAAAGCTCATTGCTCTCTACACATTCTAGCCTATATTTTTTAGTTTAATATGGAAGAAGCATTGTGTGTACGATACTCTGTATATATCATTTTATAAATAGTACCCAATTGTGTTATCTGAACAATTGTTCATAATAGGGCAGTTTATACAAGTACTAGCACCTAATGTTTTAATCAATGTGACTAAATGTATACTGAATTACTTTGTCTGGACAATTAAGGTAAATAAGTATCAAACTGTTTGAATGTGATTTCCATTCCTTAAAGAGTTATTTCTGAAATGCTAAAAAGTCCCTCCACCAAACCCAGTGCCACAGACTCAATTCTGACTCCTAGGCTTCCCAAGACCGCCAGTCACTAGGGGAGCAGACTCATTTTCCTCCCCAGGACTAACCTATCCTCACTACACTTCTTTCCTTTCTAAAAATGGCAAAATAATAGTACCTACTCTCATGAATAAAATTATGCACTTTAATGTATTTTACAGGCTTAACACAGTGCATGGTATGTGGTATAAATATAATTCAAAAGTTTTAGAATGAAGTAATTCAGTGTGACATTTATGACCTAAGGCTTCTTTAATTTGCTATGCTAATTAGTATGCTAATTAATTAGTGTGTGCTAATTATAATAACAATAACAAGATTCAAATTCTTGCAGGTACTATTAAAGCTAGAAAAGCAACCCATTTTTGTGGCGCAATGGCAAGTTTTAAAATAAATTAAGAAACACTAATAAACCAATTTTCAATAAAGTATCACAGCAGAGAGTGGGAATCTACTAATTAATGTTAAGGAGACTTTCACAGGCCCTTTAAATTCTTTGCCCACATTAGAATTCAATGCCATAATTGGGAAACTGACCAGATATTTTTTTCAGAATTTCTCAGAATACATATCCTTTAAGGAAAATTCTCCAACCATCTCTCTGGTTCAAATCATGTTCCTGGGTTCATTTTAACAGTTCTACTCTTTCTGCAGAGTGGCCCAAGAAAATTATGTTTTTAATTGGAGGGATAAGAGAAAACCATTTCATGATAGAAAATTTATTCAGTGCACGATCCATTTTTCACATGTTATTTCAATGATTTGACTGCTTCATGCAATGAGGGAAACAGTTCACTACTGTGCCACCGCCCTTCTAAAAGGAAAAGGCACACTGCTGAGAGTCCCTTACATCTAGGTCCCACTGTCAGCTTAGCTGTCCTTTCTTCCAGGAACTCTCCTGATCTCCCACAAAGCAACTGAGGGGCCTTTTTCATATCCACAGACCCCTCTTCCTCTTCCATAGCAGTTATGCCAGATTTTAAGTAATAGTTACCTGGCTTTTCTGTAAGTTCCAGGAAAGAGCAACTTTGGGCTCTTTCAATAGTGTTGCATAAACACGTAAATGAAAGCCTGAGAATGAAAAGTCCAACTTAAGAGAATGTGCAAATGTTTTCTTTGAACTTTTTAAAAATGGGGCTTTAAACCAATTATTTTTGGTTCAGTCCTGACCCACAAAGCAAAACCCAGATGTGTAAAATGTGGGTGCACCAGAATGATAACCAGGACAGGTATTACAGGTCGACATCTGCTGGAAACGTAATCTCCCACTTAGAAAGTGTGCAGGTTGCTTAGCTGCCAAATAGCCACTTTGAAATTGTGTTGCTCTCCACAATCCTGGCAATATTCCAATCTCCCTCATCAGGCTCCTGAATGGACTCCTCTTCTTAGTTTTCCAATCTAGAGCCTCAACCCGTAATTACTCCTGTCCTGGTTATCATTTGGTGCACCCACATTTTACAATTTGGGTATATTCTGATTTGCTGCAAGAGCTATGACTGAACAGGCTGGCAGTCTCACTCTTTATTTTTTTAAGCCTAGAGGATTTAAAAAAAAATTGCCATGGCTCTATGAGACAGTGAAATAAAACGGATTATTTAAATAGGTTAAAATACATTCTCTTGTCACCTTTCCTCTTTTAGGTACCTCCCAACTTTAGTCCAAAAATCTGTGTCATATAAGAAATTTTCCCTGTGCTTCTAAGGGACAAAGCAGTTTCTTTAAAAGTTATTTGGAGTTAAAAAAAATCATTATATGTTTGGGCACTACGCATATAAATCATTATATGTTTGGGCACTAGGCATATAAAAGCTATGGGGAACACAAGGATAGTTAAGGCCTGTCCTTTGTCAGCTAGGGAATTCAGTTTATTGAAAAATATTTTCACATGTTTAGATACAATTAAAGTACAAAGTGTGGGAAGAGCCTCGCATAGAGAGGCTCCCATTGGACATACTCTAACAAGAACCTACTGCGGTGATTCAACAACAGGAACAGCCGATGCCAGCGAGTCTATTCCGACTCAATGGGACCCAGCAGAGGGCGGACAGCCTCCCCTTTCTCCGGACTGATTCCACCATGCCTACCCGTGTGTGGCAATAGTACCCCGCCCACTTTCAAAAGCTAGGTCAAGGATCGGGGGCTCGTAACAGGCGTGAGGAAGAACTTAGGAAAGCGCAAGCGAACCCCCGATCTGTCCTGCAGCAGCATGACGAGCAGCAGCGGCCGCTCTGGGTTTGAACAAGCCCCCCAAGGAGTTACAGAGCACCGGGTGACCACCATCTGCCCCGCCCATACCATCCCCCGAGCGTCCCTTGAAAGAGAAGCAGCGGACACGACCAGCCGACTCCGCCCTCGGAAAAGATGTCCCCTCACCGACAACCTCTCCACCGGCAAGAAATAAAGAGCACCTCGGAGACGTCGTGGAGCCGCTGGGGACCCTGGGCCGGGAGCACGGCTCGCGGACGGAGGTCGGGGCGCGCTCTAAGGATAAACTCACCTGTTCGTCCTCCTGCATGGAGGCGGCCAGAGGAAGCCCGTCCGCCACTCGCGCGATCATCGTGAGCAGCACCATCTTCGCAGAGGACAGGGCCCAAACGCTGGCCCCGCGGCCCGGGCGCCGGCCTCACCTGCTCGGCTGCGGCGGCAACCGGGGTATCTGCACCGCGCTTCGCCAAGACTCGGCTCCCGGCGTCTGCGCTTCCCGCTGAGGTGGCCGGAAGCGGCTCTGGCGCGTTCCACTACCGGGGTCGAGGATTCGCTTCCGCCGGAAACGCCTCCCCCCGACACGCCAGTTCCGCTGCCGCCTTTCCCGCGGTGGCGTCTCCTCAGACACCGCCCACTCTTCGACGTTGCGAGCTTCGAAGTGCCTTTGCTCCCTGAGGGCCCAAACACCCAAAGTTCGGGAGAGGTTTGTGAAGGGCAGTAGAAGCTAATAGCTGTTTTGGAAAAGGGTAGGTGAAGAAAGGGAAATTCAGGGGATCTATTTTCCTATTTAACCTACTCGTATATTTCTAGGCAAAGATGTACTCGCGTGCGCGCGTGTTCAAGGTGTCTCGTAATCCTTGAGCGGTTCGTTCTGGTAAGAGGTCCATACGTATTTGCTGTATGGGAATAAATGAACAAGATCACCCAAATTACTCAAACTTCCAAAAGCCAGACTCGGGGGCACAGTTATAGAAATTACGGCGGCATAACACAAACACTTGTGAAACCGTTGCTGCGCTTGAAGGCTGAGCATCAAAGACTCTGGGCACATGTAGGACAATTAGCACGGCATCGTGTATAATGTTCTACATCCTAGTTTTGTGAGTAGGATCTTAGCTTTTTGGGTGGCCATCCATGTAAGATATAGCTATTAGTGGACTTTTTCATCTGGAGCAAAGGAAGACTGAAGGAAACTCAGGACTCAGTAAAGCAATTAATCCACAGGACTGATGGCCCACATGGTGCCCTGTGGTGTCCCTGCTATGCGTTGGGCTGCGATTCGCATGGTCCCCAGTTCAAAACCACCAGCTCCGCAGAGACAGACTGGATTTTCTAAGCCCGTTACAGCCTCAGAAACTCACAGGGAGTCGGCGTTGACTGGATGGCAGCAGGGAGTAATGGCCCACGGGTGACAGGTGACACAGCCTCTTCTAAGCCTGAGACCAGAAGGCTTGACAGCACTGACAGTTTTAGAAACTCCCCTGTTCCCCCTAGACCTGGAACTGATGCCACTCCCAGAGGTCACCCTGCGATTGTATGGGACATGGTTGTTTCTTTACAATGCATACCCACTCCATTCGTTTCCATTGGTTACAACCAATTAGTATACCGATGGAGGGACTCAGTCACCCTGGATTCACTTTTCCTTGGACCAGCTTTCATCCTTGCACGCCATGCTCTTGTTTCTTACATACACCGCATGCTTCCGGCCTCCTTCTCCAGAGAGAAGACAAGCAGTTCTTGTCAGGTTGCTGAGCCAGCAGAAGGTCAGTGTTGTTTCTGTTAGAAACCAAGGCTTCAGCTGCCTGACATTTAGACTTGAGACTCTGAATTCGTTGCGCTTCCTACTTTATCAGCACCTTGTGTTGTTTTTGAGCTCTTGCCCTTTGTTCCCTTGAGGGATACCAGACTGTGGTGTCATCATACCTAACACTGATCAGCACATAAAGGCCCTAGATTATTTTGCAATGTTTGGGGGAGGGATGGAAGGGGGAAATATCAGCAAACATTTACTCCAAACTTCAGAATTTACAGAGTTCATATTTAACCTTTGTCTGAAATGTAACAACCTCATGAGGTGGGTTAAAAAAACAACTCAGAATTCTGGAGTTTGTAAATTCTAGAGCTTGTGTTGGGGGAGGGGAAAAGCAAACAGGAGCTGTGCCTATTATACCTATAGCTACGCCAAGTTCTTGGAATTTCCCAAACTGAGTAACATAGCTAAATCAACTTAGATTGGCCTGTTGAAACAGCATGAAACTTTCCATTACGGCAGTCCTAAGGTTGCCGAGTTTATAAATGAGATCAAACAGACAAGGTGTGTATCTCTTCATTAAACAAGTCTTGATTGCCTACTTATTTAGTAGCACCGTTTAGCATAGATGACTAAGTAACAGTGCCAGCAACCCGAAGCCCCTATACATTGTGGTTGGTAGCTACCTGATGGGGTTGTCTAGCCTGTAATCTTTATAGGATAGGTTGATGTAGGGGCCACAACAGTGGGCTCAAACATAACAGCAATTGTGAGGATGTCCTGAGACTGGTGGAGCTTCATTCTGTTGTGCATAATGAGTTGGCACCTACTCCATTGGCACCTAAGAACAACAATCTTTATGGGCTCCAGGTCTCTCTTCTACAGAGCTGTCAAGGTGGGTTCTACCCATCTACCTTTCCATCAGATTACACAGTGCTGCCTGTGAGAAGGCTGCAAGTGAACCGTAGCTTCTATTTTAATTACATGACTATAATTAGACAGACTATAGAAATGAAAACTTTTTTTTTCTTAGAAGATGTCTCTAAAGGCAGACAAAATATTAAATAACTACTGTATGTGGATTTAGGAGCTAAGAAAAGGGTAGCTCTGGTGTCATATCTGACCTCCTCTGGCTTCCCTATGTAGTAACCCAGCTTAGCATGAAGAACTCCATTTCGTTTCAGACTGCTTTCAACACCATACTAGCTGCCTATAGTCCCTCCTTCCCCCTCCCCATCTCCTGACAAACCTTGACTCTCTCTCTAGATGTCTCAAGACCTGCCCAATTAGCAAGAAATGTCAACTATCCTGTCAGACTCTCAGTTATCACCTGCAGCTGTTGTTCCCTCTAGCCTCTTCCCCCCCTTTGCCCCCCTGCACCCCCCCACTGCTACCGTGTTTCCCCGAAAGTAAGACATTCCCCCAAAATAAGACCTACTTAGAATTAGAGTTTTGCCTCTCGCTGAAATATTAGGCATCCCCCGAAAATAAGAACTCCCCGAAAATAAGGCCCCCCCGAAGCTACTGTAACTCTGGACCATAGTGGTGGGCACTGCTGCGCAGCTCACTGTTGGCTGCAGCGCAGCCAGAGCAGACAGGAAGTGAGAGGTCTCTTTCAATAAAACAATAAACAATAAATGTGTACCATATTCTTCTTCATGGAAAAATAAAATATCCCCTGAAAATTAGACCTAGCGCATCTTTGGGAGCAAAAATTAATATAAGACACTGTCTTATTTTCAGGGAAACAGAGTAGTATCCTGCCTACCTGATCAGTAAAAATATAACTGCCTGAATGTTTCCCCTCCCCTTTAAGCCAGCCCTCTGCCTTAACTATAGCGACGTCATGTTTTCTATGTTCGAGGTTGAGAGTTTTCCAGGCTCTAGCCTCCTCTCAAACCAGCTGTAATACAGGCTTTTATATTAAATGGCATATGATTACTCTCTCTTGGGTGGGATAGATTACACCATGCTTTGAGGTAGGGATCAAACACTTTTCCACCCTCCATCTTTCTTTACCTATTCTAGCACCAATCGTTCCTCCCACGGCACTCTCTCTACTTCTAAACTGCGTTTCAGAAATTTGTTGCCATGGCCACAAAGAACTCATAAACAAAGCTTATAATTACGGAGGCTCATTAAGGTAGTTAATAGGCTACCACAAATTGGGATCAGGAAACTAAGGATACAGCCATTGTTCCCTAACAACACTTCTCCAAGCTAGCAGTCAAGTTTCCCTCTACTCCTCAACACCACAACCACATGGTCCCGAGGCTTCTGCCTCTGTGGGCCAGTCTGCTCTGCCTCCCAGTCTCATAGTCTTGATGCTGCTCCTCTGTTCTGTTTCCTTGCCTCGGCCTTTGGTGCTTCTGCCACACTAGACAGAGATCTCAAACGTGCTCTCTCTCTTCTCCTGCTTCAAAGATGGCTCTCATCCTGATAGCCAGGGGGCTGGTAATGAAAACTGACCAATCCTCTCTATTAATGTTACATTGCCCTGTTTGCAAAGTCCCATTTAATTATTTTTGGTAGGACTTAGAGAGACATGAGTTGAAGAACCCTATTAAAAATTTATTTCACTCCACCTTGTTAAGAAATATTCACTCTTCTAGCCATGTCTCTTTCATACTCGAAAAATTAATGTCCCCTCTCAGTTACATGTTCCTATCATTACTATTTTACAGTCACTATTATGGCAGGTGTGACAATCACTTTGTGATAGTTACATAATCTGGTGTCAACCTCAGACTATAAAAGTTAATGGGTGGAGATTAGCCTGTCAATCAGGTGGCAACTTGATGACCTCATTTGCAGGTGCAAAGGAGATAAATAGCTTGCTGGAGGAGGGACACACACTCTCTCCCTGTGAGACATTACTGTTGACAAGCCACATGGAGCTATGCTGATGGAGCCAGAGCCCTGGAGTTGGAGGAACCATGTGGAGACCCATGCCAGTGCTGAGATGCTTCCACCACCACTGGATCCATAAGACTTTCCACCCACTGGCCTGTGAGCTTCCTACCTTCAGCATCACTGCATGGCTGTGTGAGTATAAAGAGGGATTTATGGACTAGTATCGATATATGGGGTAATATCAGACTTATGGACTTGACCTGGACTTGGCTGGGATGTTTTCTTAATGTATAATTGCTCTTTGATATAAAGTTCTCTCTTATGAGTATCTATGAATTTGTTTCTCTATTCAACTCAGAGTAACACATATCTGAATCATATAATCTGATCAACATGTTCCCCCAGCCTCTCTTTCCCAGAGGAACCTTAGTGGTGTAGGGGTTCCTTGTTTGGGATGTACGTTGGGATACACATTCAAACTGCAAAGTCAGCAGTTTCAAACCACCAGCAGCCCCTGGGGGATGGGGGGAGGGAGACTCAGCTTTCTGCTCCCATAAAGAATTATAATCTTGGATACTCACAGGGTGCAGTTCTACACTGCCCTATGGCGTCACTATACGTTGACTCATGGCATCAACTCAGTGGCAGTGAGTTCTCTTTCTCAGACTCATCAGGAAAAGAAAGCTATTGAGTAGAGATCCTCCCTGTTCTACTTGTTTTGAAACTAAACACACCCATGAGAGCTGATAAACTAGCCACTTCATGCCTGTATCCCCCCTCGATTTCTAAATTGCCCATCTCTATTACTCTGAGGAGACAAGCAAACTCTTTGACCTGAAGAATTTTCATTAAAATTGAA